CTCGTTCCACTTTCTGGCCAAAGGTCTCAGGTCATGAATAACTTTCCACGTTATAGTTTTAATTTGGGACTTCCCTCCACCTGCTGTCCATCTCCCCCTCTTCCTCCCACCCGTGGGGCACATATTATCAGTGACGCGTTTCCCAGCCATTGCGCAGAGCTCCCGCAGTCCAAACGCTCCGATTTGCGCGCCCCGGTCACCCACTCACGCCTCCTTCTGTGCCAATCTGCCGCGTCCTGGGACGCCCCCAGCATTCCCGAAGCAGCGGTCACTTCCCCTCATGCGAAACAAACTTTAAAATGAAACGATGCTGGTTTTATACAATTTCTCCTAAAAGAAAAGTGATCAGAATGATATGTGAGAACCCACTTCCGGTACAAACCTCTGTCCATGTAATCAGATTGCCCTTTGCTCTAGTTACTCCAGATGGCAGAGTTACTCAACAACTGGAGGAAATTCCGCCACCCTCATCCCTTTTCGGTGGGACTGAGGTGAAACCAGTTTGTGTTACCTGGGCGGGGGTTCCCAGAAATCCTCCCCTGTGACGAAATATCCATCAACATGCCCAAATATGGACAACCGTGTGCGTAATAAGGAAAGGTCCTCATACGTAGGCTACGTGCTGTGCGTAAAGCCTCTCAAACCAGAATCTGCTGTACTGGAAGAGCAGTCATGGGAACTCATGTTGTTTATGTTGTTTTTGTTGGAGAGTTGATTTACAATAAACCACAATAGAAAAACGAGAACACGTGTTTTCATTTAAAGACACTTTACTTAAATACGTCACAAATAAAAAAGAAGGACAATGTAAACATTGGACATCCGTTTGTCTGGATCAACCGGACAAACTAAATAATTTACACACGAATAATCGCAGCTTCTGCAAATAAAAACAACAATATTCACTCCCCGGGCGGCCTCGCGCCGCTGCTGCTCGGCTCAGCCTGAACGCTGCCCTGGATTCTGTGTTGAATGGTCCGAGCGGTGACCAGCAACCGGAAGTACCATTTCATTCAGTCTTTGTGCCCTAAACAGTCTGCAGAGATCGCCTCTGTGGTGCCGACACTCCCGACCGGTGTTCCGGTGCTGCGCGTGCAGCGCACGGCTCCAGTGTTTCTACTTTTCAGTCACTTTAGCAGCTCAGTCTCTTAAAACGCTTCGATCTTGCTGGTGAGCATCAGCTGACAGCCGCTGCTCACGTGCGTCAGGACCTTCTGCTTGAGCTGCGCCACCTGATCCCGCAGCACGGACGCTGTGCTGGACAGCCCCGCGTTGTCGTTCTTCAGGACTTTCACCTTCTCCTCCAACCGGGCGATGCGCTCCAGCTTGCGCTTCCGGCACTTGGTCGCCGCCAGCCGGTTCCTCAGCCGCTTGCGCTCCGCCTTGATTCGCTCCTGCGTCTCCAGGTCGATCGGGGACATCGGAGGCGAGCCGTCGCTGCTGAGCAGGTCGGGCACGATCTGCGGCTCTTCCTTCATGGCGACGAGTCGCTGCGGGTTGATCCCGTAGCCGGAGAGCGATGGCTGAAAGTGGTGCGCGCCGTGCGCTGAGGTCTGCGTGTGGCTCTGCTGGTGGGGCGGCAGGTAGCTGATGGTGGCGCTGGGGTTGCTGGGTGCAGAGGAGAGGCTGGTGTTGGGGCAGTATGCGTTCAGCGTCGTGTAGATGGGAGCCTCCGGCTGCAAGGCGGACCCAAAGATGCCAGGGCCCGCCGCCGAACACGTAACTCCACCGGCACCGATGGACACGTTGGGAGGGGGCATCTGGTTCATCTTGTGGAGCTCGTCCAGCGCCTTCACGAAGCCCTCCGCGAAGCCCTCCTGCTCGTCGGTGATGCCCCGGTTGTAGAAGTACTGGCCCGGGGTGGGAGTGGTGATCACCCCGTTGCCGTTCTGGATGATGAGCCGCTCCAGCTCCGGCGAGGCCAGCTTCAGGGAGCCCACGTCCTGTTGCGCGCCCTGGTACGGGTCCGCCTCGGCTCTCAGCTGGCACTTCAGGTTGCGATAGGGCTCTGTCGAGTTCAAATTCATGTTCTGCTTTAGCAGTTTGTAGTCGTGCATGGCTGCGTCTGAGTGGCCGTAAGCCGACAGAAAAGAGTCGTCATGATAAAAAGGCTGCTCCATCTTTGTGGACATAAAGTCGCAGGAAAAGCAAAGAATCAGGGACGCTTACCAGCTGCTTCTAGAAAACCAGCCTCTGGATTATCAACAACACTCAAGAGTCAGCAGCAGAGAGCCTGCATCGAGCCAGCCTCTCAACTCTGTCCTCAAATGATAAAAACCGAGTCCAGAAAGTTCTCCAGGTCTGGATCAGCTGTTTACAGCGTCCCGTTCTGTCCTCCTGCGGCCGCTCTGCTCTCTGAGCTGGGAGAGGTGTGCGCTGTCAGGCCAATAACAGCTCTTAAATACACACGCGGCCGCACGCTTTCAGGAGCGCTCCTATTGGCCGAGGCCCGCTCCGTCTCCGCCCCCCCGCGCGTGTCACCAAGTGACGCGGATGCCGGGAAGAAGCGCCTGTAAACAAGCCTGGAGGCGAGGGAGAGCGCACCGAGGAGCGGCACGTAACCGAAAGCCCGCACGGCTTTCAGCGCAAACACTTAGAAACACGTTTTGTTCGTTAGATCAGCTGCTGAGGATGACGTCATCCTGTCGTCTAAAATCCATCCATAAAAATAAATGAACAAACCGCTATTCTTGTGTCAGATGTCCATCTAAATCCTGTTTGGTCCGGTTTTATCGGACTGATATCAGCCAAACACTAAATATCACTGTTTACTATGATTCCTTAAAGGAAGTTAACTAGCCTTATATGGGCACGGTGACGCACGGGTTCCTCCACAGCCGTGAAGCCACGCCCCCAGGCCTTCTTCCAGCAGCATTCCTTCTCCTGTAGAAACGGAATCCATGTGTTGGGACGACGTTAGGGACTCTGTGCCACAGCAAGGGGAGCTGGAGAGCGTCAGGCCGCTGGTTTCATCTTCAGATCTGATTATTCCGCCTGTTGTTCTTGTTGTTGACACACGAATCCTGACAGGCGTGTGACTTGCTGCTGATGCTGGCAGGTTGCCTGCTCAGTAAAATGGCTTTGATCAGATCGGGGGACAGGAAATACAGGAAACTTCATCCAAACCAAACACTGTTATCTTAAAGAGAGATTGTGTAAATTCCCTCCCGTTTGATCTCTCGTCCCGCAGTAAAGGTGTTCAGGTGTGCGGCAGGAACGCGGTTCCTCTCTGCTGCACCTGTCCGAGCTCTTAAGATGCTTTGTCTTCTGTTTGAGCTTCTCTCTAACGCCCACACAACCACGCTCAGGTGCCTTCAGTGCTGCATCCCATTTCCCTCAGAAGACAGAACCAGTGGGGTCGGATCCTTAGAGGCAAATCCACACCTCATCCACATGTGTGTGTGTGTGTGTGTGTGTGTGTGTGTGTGTGTGTGTGTGTGTGTGTGTGTGTGTGTGTGTGTACACTCTTGGTTTAGAACATTTTCTGTTATCACCCACCTTGCTAGGACGAGCAGTCCTCAAGGGAACCAAAGATCAAGGCTCCAGAGTTGGTATAATTATACTAAAATGTCCTAAAAAGAACAGAAATGTTTCTCAATGTCAAGGCGCCCTGCCTACGAGGATGCCGGCCTTCGATTGGTCGAAGAAAACGATTAAATGGAACAGACTTACTTCTGACCTGGGAGCTGCGGTCACATCACGTGACACGTGAGATGATATTAGATTTTACACAGATAAGTTTCAATATAAATATTCAACCAGCCTTCTACTTTTTTTATTGTCTATATCTTGGTTAAATGTAAGTGAGCCTGCCAGCCACCGAAGCTGCAACTACTAAGTAGCTAACCAACCTCAGACAACTGCTTTGGATCTAAAAGACGTTTTAGACATCAGCCCAATAGAACTGGAAGTTTGTTCCCAAACGACCGGCTGCTGGCTCCTGAGCCGCCAACATTTTCAAAATACCGCGGCGTATTCTAGGAAATATTTGACCAAGGCTAGGCTAAGGCACCTCCAGTGTATCATTGGTCAGCTAGCTAAATGGCTAACGAACGGAGAACAAATGCCTCGCTTGCACATGGACATTGGAACACGCCTTGGCGGTTCCTTAGCCACTGAGGAAGGCTGAGGAGAAGGCTGCTGTGGCCCCCAGACTCTGGACCTCCCTCCCCCTGAGCCAGAGACCAGTGGACTCAGTGGTCTCCTTTAAACTCACCTTTTCAGGCTTTTGTGTGACCTTCATCACCACCTTCTCCTTATTCTGCTCTTCCTACTTATTCCACCTTTCCTCGCGATCCACTGATTTCCCTCTTTCCCATTCATCTTCCCTCTCCCTTTTCTTCATTTTGATTTTTTAATCACAATTTTTATGGTTTTTTTTCTTATTTTAAACATATTTTTGATCTTTTTTTGGAAGTCGTTTTTATACTTTAATAGTTTTCCTTTGTTTGAGAAGTGCATTATGATTTTTATCTTGAGAGGCGCCGTATAAAACATCATTTTCTTTCTCTCTTTCTTGAAAGGATGAAAATGGATGGATGGATATTATGGCTTGAAATTATGAAAAATGAGAGGTGTGTTTATTTGAATGACAAGCAGCAGATGAGCAGCGCTAGCAGCTAGCCTTGTGCTTGTTCCTAGGCAGGCCTCAGCCTCACACCAAAGTGTTACAGCCTAGAAGGCAGTGGAAAGCCGAGTTGCTGAACTGCAGTTTTCTGGCTAAAATCACCAACCAAACTCCGTTAGCGTCAGTTAGCTTAATTAGCTTGTAGCTATGTCGACTCAGAGCCTGATGGGTGTCAATCATCCGCCCCCACCCACACAGCTCCGCTCTCAGCTGCATTCTTATATATCGTGACGAGATGCACGATGCGACCAGGATGGTGGTGGCGGGAGCGGCCCATTGGGCTTCAGTTCATCTCTTCAGAAACCTGCCGCTGACGGCGCCGAGGGTTCGCCCATTATTTATTCAGTCTATGTTTAAAACTGGCCATGCAGGGTCTTGTGATGTTGCACAAAAATGCTATTTTCAAGACTTCCCAAAACAATAGGTCCATTATTTTTCTGCTTATTATGATGAGTTTAAAATCTCTTGGGTGTCGGTGGAGGAGCAGTGTTTATAGTGAGATCATCTCTCAGGTATTTATTAGCTAAAGACGCTGTCTGCCAGCTGGGACCCTGCCCTTTAGGGTCCCCGTGCCTGATAGTAACGACCTTATCTCAGGTATTCGTTGCTATTCCCAGTGACTGTTTTGACTTGGTGCTGTTTTGTGAGTATCCATGGGAAAGGGGATAAACAGAGGAAAACAACAGTTCCTGGCAGCGTTGTGCCTCCACTTTGCCACCTCCCTTATAAAATTCTATTCTCCGTGCAGCTGCCTGACTCCAGGTTTGGGTTCGGGGTTTGTTCAGCGCTGCGGTTCGAGGTTGACCACAGTCCCAGTGACATTTTGGCAGGGAACAACAGAGCGGGGTCCAGAGTGGTGAATGTTTACGGGAACACTCGTGAGGTGGCATGGTGCCATCCAGCCAAATGTTCGACAAAAACAGACACGTTTAGCCACCCTGCAGGGAGGGAGGACGGGCGGGCGGGCGGGGAGGACACATGTTCACACAGATGTGTGACGGGTTATAAGTAAGATTCTAATTTTTACTTAAACAACAGCTGTTCATCACTCCAGGATTGTGGATTTATCTCCAAATGCAGAGATGCTTGTTGGTTTGAGACTTTTGTCATCGGGTTCCATCTTCCTGCAAAAACTGTCCCGTCATCTCGGCCACATCTGGATTAGTCACGTCTCTGTTTAGTCTGTTTAGATGCAGACTTGTTCTCCTCTCACGTTCACAGCGTGCCTCCTCTGGGTTCAGCGTTCTCTTTGGCAGACCCAAGACTTGCTCAGAGATGCAGCGGGGTGCTGTTTAAGCGTTTTTTGGGCAGCCTATCAAGAGTTTGAGGGCAGGTGGAGCTGCTTGGCAACAGGTTGTAACAGTCAGGATCACGTGGACCAGCGCCAAAACCAACCCGGTGTTACCTGCTCCGTCTCCCTGGGGGAGTCTGGGAACGGCAAGGCCCGAGGCTGGAAGGAAGCAGTTGTGTGTGTGTGTGTGTGTGTGTGTGTGTGTGTGTGTGTGTGTGTGTGTGTGTGTGTGTGTGTGTGAGATGGTTTTTTTAGATGGAAGTGCAAACATCTGGATGAAAGGAAGTAATGAGGCTGTCTCCGGCCCACCGATGGAAGGCAGATGAGATGTGATTAGAGATTCGACGGTGGCAGCGCTCTGTCTGAGAGTCGTGGCCAGACTGTACAGTTACACATCTAGGACGGCCAGAAAGGTTTTAGAGCTGATCCACTCATGGGAAACGGCCACCACAGCTAACTAGTACCAGGAAATATAAAAATGGTTATAATGCAGTAAAACTGATCCGTGCTGAGTAATAAAAACCCGACTAACAGTTTAGGCAGACGCGGCGGTCGGTCTGAAGCCGTTGTCAGATTTCCTCTCTGACAGGAATTGAGTATTTGAGAGTTGAGGTACTGAGCTACAGCTGGATTTGTGATGGTTAAGACTCTTCACCATCATCTACATTCACAGCCATTTAGTGCAGAAATAAGAAATGAAGCACGTCTTTTTCCGTCCTGGAGAACTTCCCCGTTTTAACAAAGACGGCTTTCACAGCAAGGTGTTTGTGCAGAGGAGCGCTCTCTCCTCACCTCCTCCTCTGAAACCATCCCATTGTGCCTCTCCACCTCTCCACAACTCTCCTTTTGTCCGAGCACGGAGCTGCAGCCCACTGGCCGTCCGCTGCTCCTCAGCACTCTGCCCTTTTGGCTTGGTGAGCTTTGCTCCAGCTCTGTGAGTCAGAGCCACTCGGGCGGCGGGGGAGCAGCCAATCAGAGGTCAAAGCCTCCAGCTCTGAAGTCTTCCCCCCTGACCTTCACCACTCTTCCTTACGCCCACTCAGCAGAAACGGGTTGGGGTTAGCACAGCGGGAGCGTGGAGACAAAGCAGGCTTGGTCGGAGGAGGATTGTTTGTGATGTGCCCGCCTGACAAAGTGGCTGACTCCTCATCTGGACATAATGGGGCCACTCATCTTCATCTTTGTGGCTGTGGTCACTTCACAGTTAGTGCTATTAACGGAGAGATCCATCATAGCTCAATCATCATCTCCTCCGTCAACATCACATGATACCACCGTGCTACTCTGTCGGTCCCAAGCGACCCGTGAAGCCCCATAGACCCGTCCACCGCATGCTCTTGTGTTAAAGCTTTGGAATTTCAATCAGAGCTTTAAGAATTTGACTCAACAGCCTCAACGTAAGAAGGTCTTCGAGGTTTCTGTGTAATATAGTCATCCCCTTTTACAAGCAAATCTTTTTACACATTAA